GCACGGTGACAGGTGGGAACCGTGGCTCTACAGGTTCACCCCAGCACAGTCACAGGTTCTGCAGGAGACAAGTACTGATAACTTTAGACTGTCAAACTAGTAACTTGAGGCTGTTAGGACTTATGACGAATCTCATCTTAAAGTACTTCTACTGATAACACTTGAGGGCAACTGGAAAAAATATTCCTATCAAATGTGCGTTGGAGATATTAGAAATCCACAGGACACTCTAGCACCGAGTCTAGCTGCAGCGTTTATTCAGATGATCTGAAAACTGGAGCGCTTTCCCTTAAAGGTGCAGGGGTTCCCGTAGGAAATCTCCCTGAAGAAGTCACAGCTCCTCTTAACAGTGTCTCCCACTGCACACTTCTCTGAGCGACAGAATTAAAAAGGAAAATGGCTCGATTATTCCTATTTTGGTTCTGTGGTCATGAGACGGAATGAGAAAACATAAGACATCCTCAGAACACAAAATATGCGTACATATAGATCCTGAGATGTTACAGTGAACTTCAGAAACAGGGGAACACGGTCCAAGCCATTTTGAAGACACTGTGGTGGTGGGTAAGTCATTCTCCAGGATACGCCGCCTGCATGTCCGCATCACGTCAGGAAAGCCCTCTGTGTTCAAATGTGAGAGCTAGTCACCCAGAGCAGGTGGCCAGTCAACATCTACAGACTGAAAGGAAGAAAAGTCATTAAACAGAAATTCTGGCAAGCATTTCTGGGGACAGTTTCACTGTGTGCAGGAGAAATGACCATTTCTGAACTAATAGAGACACCATTACTTTATACCTCTTGACTCCTAGGAGAAGTGGATAAATCATCATGTCAGTTATGAATAAAGTATGAAGAAATTCAAATTTGGGCAGCCACACTATTTTTCCTCACAAGTCTCAACAACTGTTGCTCTGACCACCTTCTCTTTCACAAAATACAGTTATGTATCACTTAATGGTGGGAACATATTCTGAGAACTGTGTCATCGGGTGACTCCATCCCTGGGCAAACACCATGGCGTACTTAACCTAAGGTATGATGTCACTAGGGGTGTCAGCTAGCGGGACCAGTGTTAAGTGGCACATGGCTCGAGCAGTCTCTAACTAAAGGGGAAGTGAATGAATATGAACATCACTAGAAGTACAAAACCAGAGTAGCTTCTCATTTCAGAAGCTTTGTTTCCTTTAAAACCCAGTCAAATCAGCTATCATGAATCATGCCTGCAATCTTAGCGCTTCAGAGGTAGAGGCAGGAATCAGAGTTTACAGCCTACTCGGGCTACATCAGACCCTGCTCCAAAGCATCAAAAGCATCTAAATAAATCCAATCAGTCTCTGGACTCTCACTTTGTTCTTCCAGATTAAAACCACAGTGAGCAATCTAGTCCAGTTCCACATATCACATTCCCGACACACCAAGACACACCTTATCTGGTCTCTGTCTGTGGACCTCCCTTAGGAAGAGGCTTATGTGGGTGCGATGGTGTATACCTGCCACAGCAGCCAGGAGACTGAGCTAGGGCAGATTAGTAGATGCTAGCCTGAGCCATAAGGCAAGTTCCAAGCAAGCCTGGGACATATTTAAAAACAAAAAGCACTTGGGAGACAGAGGCGGGAGGATTTCTGTGAGTTCAAGGCCAGCCTGGTCTACAGAACTAGTTCAAGGACAGCCAGGGCTCTGCTAAGAAAGCCTGCCTAGAAAAACAAACAAACAAACAAAAAAACCCACCACCACCAACAAGAATAAATAAATAAATAAACAACTGCCAAGCCAACCCAACCCAGAGGTGTGAGGTGCCTCTCTGAAACGAAGTATTCATTAGTCCACGGGTCACGTCGCACCCCAGGTTTCCTCAACAGACAAGTACACACTGCACAAACTGCTCTAATAACTCCCAAAATGCATTGTGTAGTGTTTTAGATAAAGCCCTGTGCCAAATTTAAGTTAATGGTAGCTTCTCAAACTAAAACTGAGACAAAGAGCCACAACTGTGACAGAGGACAGGGAAGGAGAGGCATATCACTATGGATCAGTAGCTCTACAGAGGGTCCTATTGACAAGGCTGAGAAACTGACCTGGGTCTGACCCTAAGATGTCTGTTAACATGGATTGGAGCATAGTTCAAGGTAGAGTCTTGCCTAGCACTCTAGAAGAAAATGTTTTCAATCTTTAATTTTGATACTATAATCACATCATTTTCTCCTTCCTTCCCTTCCTCCAACTCTCCCCTCTATCTTTCCTCGCTTTTTCAAATCCATGTATTCTTTAGGGCATTAATTGTTGCTATACAGACACATCCTAAATATAGCCTGCCCAGTCTGTGTAATGTTACTTGTATGTATGTTTCCAGGGCTAAACATCTGGTATTGGACAACCAATTCTTTAAAGCAGTGATTGTGGCTGGCACCTTCTGTGAGACTAAGTTGTCTGTCTCCTTACAACAGCCTCGTCAGACTAATCAGTCTGGACAGTGGATCCTGGCTGCCATGTAAGAGCCATGTACAGTCTAATGACAACATGACTGCCATGACGGTTCACGTGGACACATGTTCACTTCGTGCACCCGTGCAGAAAGCTAGCCTCTTCTGGGGTTTGCAGTGGAGGGAGGCAGGGATGTCCCTCGAGGAGCACAATGTGTGACCCCACAGCCCGGAAGGGGCATTCTTTAGACTTTAACCCTGCTTCAGCTGACACTACAAGGGCAGAGCCGCACAACACAGCACTCTTCCCTGCTCTGGGCTGTCGCAGGGGTCCCAGAGACAATCACCTGCTTTGCTGTGTTTGTTCTGAGTCAGGGTCTCACTGGCCTCAAACTCACATTTCTCTTGCCCCTGCCTCCTGAGTGCCGGGATTATAGCTGTACCACTATGCCCTAATTTATCTGATTTCCTATCATTTCTAAGTACATGTTCTGGAACAAGGGGTCTTAAAACCCTTCTTAAACATTTAACCTATTTTGTATGTGCATGTGTACACTCATGCATGCGCACACATGCTCATGCCACAGAACACAAGGAGATGATGAAGGAAGTTCTTCTGTATAAGTGTTGCTTTTATTGGTTAATGAATAAATATGTTTTGACCAGTGGCTTAGCAGAATAGAGCTGGGCGGGAAAACTAAACAGAATGCTGGGAGAAAGAAGGCAGAATCAGAGAGAAGCCATGTAGGCCCACTGGAGACAGACACTGGGAATGGAACTTTGCCTGGTAAGCTACAACCATGTGGCGATACACAGATTAATAGAAATGGGCTAATTTAAGATATGAGCTAGCTAAAAAGATGCTTAAGCTATTGGCCAAATAGTATTGCAAATAATATAGTTTCTGAGTGATTATTTTGGGGGTCTGGGCAGCCGGGAATGAACAAGTGGCCTTCGCCAACAGATGAGTGTGCACACTTGTGCATGCACACACATACCCATGCCCCAGCACATGAAGATATGAGTGTGCACACTCATGCATGAACACACGCGCCCATGCCCCAGCACACAAGGAGATGAGAGTGGGTCTCTGCTTCTACCGTGTAGATCACAGGGACTGACTGAGTTCAGTGCTGCCTTGGCAGCAAAGGCCATTACTGAGATAAGCTAAGTCCAGTCCTAAAGCCCCTTCTTGAGGAAGGATATCTCTATACGGACCTGGCTGTCCTGGAAATACCTATGTAGACCAGGGTAGCCTGGAGCTCAGAGATCCACCAGTCTCTACTTCTCAAGTGCTGGGATAAAAGGCGTGCATCCCAGCTCTAAAATTCTTTATCAAACAGAACCCTAGCAGTCAGATGAATGCTTGACACAGTTAAATTTATTTTCTTGTTTTCTTTAAGGGTATAATCTGATGCCATAGGTAAATTAGTAAACGACAGTACCTGATACCAACTAGTAAATTAACTATATAATCCACAAGTATCACAAATGGATCCTGGTTTGTTTGTGTGTTTAAAATAAATACAGAGATAATTCTTCCCTATACTACAAAGCTACTGTGAGGCTTTACTCTTGTCAGATACCTAGAGAGGGCTGGAGAGATGCTCGGCGGTTAAGAGCACAGGCTGCTCTTCCAGAGGACCCGGGTTTCATTCCCAGCACCCACCTGGTGGCTCACAACCACCTGTAAGCCAACACCCTCTTCTTTACTCCAGGAACACCAGGCACACATGTGGTGCACAGACATACATGTAGACAAAATACTCATACACATAAAAGAAAATAAATCTAAATAAAACCCTCATATAAAAAAAAAAACACCCACGGACACAGGTGATGCTATTAGGTTTAGTGTCAAAAGACTTAGTTTGGCTGAATTTGACTGGCAGATGTGCACTCCCCATAGAATACTTTACCTCCACATCTAGTTCAAGGATGTCTGCAGTCACGTTCATCAGAGAGCCGATGTTCGGCTTGGTTCTCCCAAAGTCTCCATGGACAAATTCTTTAATGTAGCTAGGTCTGTTTAAGGAAAAGCTCATGCAGTGCCAACTACTTTGGCCAAGGGGGAGGGAAAAACAAATAGACTACAAAATGTTACAGAAGCGATGCCGTTTCTACACCTGGACTTGAGATGGGGATCTCAGAAAATGAGCTCGATGCCAGCAGCCCGGATCCCACCAGCCTGGGTGCCAGCATAGTAACCGGAACCTGTTTACATCACACTCCCGGGAGGCCACAACTCTGTTGTTTCAGACAGGGCACCGTGTGGCCCGGGCTACATGAACATGACCTGCATCCTCCTGCTTTCACCATTCAAGTGCTGACAGCGAAAACCTTTGTCATTCCCACCCCCACCCCAGGTGTGGGTTTCTTATGAGCTCATCTCATCTCAAAATGCCAAGGTTTGGGTATACATTAAATAGACTATATAGTTCAATGCCCTTCCCCCTTTTGGAGACAGCGTCCCACTGTGTAGACCTAGCCTGGAACTCACTATGTAGACCAGACCAGCCTCCAGCTCAAGAGATTCACCTGCCTCTGCCTCCTGAGTGCTGGTATTAAAGGCATGCGCCACCATGCCCAACCCAATGCTTTTCAACACCCCTCCCCCTTTGTCATTTCTGTTTTGATATCTGGTCCCATTTTTCAATAATGACAATTAGTATCTATGAAATGGGAAGTTTCTACAGAAGCACACAGAAACTGACCGCCAACGATGGGGTTCCTTGTAACACATTG